TCAAAACAAGGTTATATTTTTCTGTGTAGGAACACCCAAGTCCATTTAACTTTTGAGAGATGTTATGCTTAGGTATGCTATTGTTGGGGGTCACCAGAATGTCTGAAATGGTAAAGGAGAGCTTTAGTTTCTGTGGTCAATTAGAAAATAGGTGGCTGTTACTGTTAGAGTTTGCTGAGAAGTGTATTTTTCTCCACCTCAAGATATTCCACTAAGAAAGAAAGAAGATGCATTTTTTCAGCAATGTGTGTGTGTGCGTGCACGCACATGCTTTAAGGAAACAGTGTATTTTTCACATTTTAGTAAAAAAAACGAAGTGGTTTATTCTTTCATTCTTCCAGTGAAAAATGAAACCTTGGGGAGATAAGGAAATACATTACGTGCATCTGCTTTGTGTAGTCCAAAGCACAGTTCTTAATTAAAAATAAAAAAGCAAACCAGAGATGGAAGGTGTATGATTAATGTTAGCAACCATGGTGTATAATGTGAGATGAGTGAAAGAAGTGTAATCTTGGCCTCATCAAATTTAATGAAGAAACACCCCCCAAGTGCAGTGAGCCACACTAGCCTCTCCACTGCATTTGTGTTCAAACTACGAAATGACTCTAATGAGTTAATGTTTAGCACTGGGTCTTGTTCTCAAGCAAATCCCATGAGTATCTCCTTATCCTTAGAGGGTGGAAGAACTGCATCCACAACCTTTTTTTTTTTTTTCAATCTTAGACTGTTGGGAGAGGCTGTACTGCATATCTCTATGCCCAACAGACTTTCACTTCAAGTACCTATCTAGAAAATCTTTTATGTCTGCTTCTTCTCCTCTTCCCATACTTGCATGGATTTCCTGAGGCAGTTGGTGTTCTGACCTCTTGGATCCAGTTTTCATCAGCTGTCAAGGTAAATTTGGTTAATACTGCAGGAACAGTTTGTTCAGGTTTAGACTGAAGAGGGAATAGTGACAGGGAAGCAAGAGCATTCCCCTCTTTAATCTGTCTGATATGTCTCTAGATGCACTAACTTTTCAATAGTTACACTTTCTTGATTTTTTTTTTTTTAATGAAAATTTCTGGGCCAGGCAGAGAAATCTGTAAAAGTTTTTAGCAGAAGCATATATGCGCGCACACACACACATACATATATATAAAAAGTTCATTTTTTATATCTATAAATAAAAATTAAATCCACTGATGTTATAAAAAAATCTGGCAATTATTACATATTCTGTTGGCACACATGGGCAGCCAGAGGCAGGGATTTGATGTTTTTCACTGATGCTGAGCTTGTCTCTAATATACAGGTTAAATTGGTTTTCATTACATGACATAAGCTGTCAAAAGTATTATATTGTTGTCAATATCTAACAAGTGAATGCTTATCTCAAGTTGTATGTGACCAAGGAGAGTCATTTTATGTAAGAAATTTCTCATATAGAAAATTTTCCTGAATTTTAAAACTGGGAAGGATAATTATGATGGACTGAGCAGCAGGAGGCAAGCCAAGACATTTCTTCCAGGAATTGTTTAATCTTGGAAGTACAGCAATGACACGAGGGTGTTTTCATGTTTCGCTTCACCCAGCTGCACTGGACCTCTCAAGTGCCACCTTTTTCCTCAAACCTTCTTCTTCCACGTATCTCTGATCCTGAGGAGCTCCTTGCTGTGGGATACCATGGATCACTGGTGGGAAGATGTATGTCTGTGTTGGGTGGGAAGGCCGCTGGTCTAAGCATGCATATTTTCAGTTTTTCCGTCACTGACGTAGAGCATGACTTCAAGTTGCTTGAAGTGTGCATAATGAGATAATGAGTTGGCCACAACAGTGTTACTGTGACGTAAAATAAACAGACGGGTACAAAACCAATCGCAATATGTGAATGCTGACCGAGCAGAGAAATTAAGACAAATAGAAGTCAGAGCTGGTCCATATAGAAATCTTGCAGTCAGGTGGAAAGGATGTATTAACAGGGCAAACTGATGGTGAGACAGGTGGTGATTACATGAGATAATGCAAACAGAAAAATTTTAAGCAGAGTCTGAAGGTAAAGCTTTGCAAAGACCTGCTCATGCCATTTCCTAGCAGTTGTTAAAGCTTCAGGCTCTGTTGATGTATGTGGAATGGAGAATTATTTGGAGGTCAGCTTGAAGTTGGTTTTTGGGTTTGATTTTTTTTGGTTTGATTTCTTTTCTCTTGGTTGAACTGGTGCATTGAAAATATTTTTGTATGTGTTGAATTGTGGACCTAAAATGAAATAACTATGTTCACATTAAAGTTTGTAATGAAGATTTTCATTTATTCAGGGATTTGGAGTTTGGTGTTGTTTTTTTTTTAATGGAAGCTGATATTCCTTCATGCTAGGAAGGGCAAAATTAGAGGAATAAGCCTTGAGCTTGGAGTAGAGGGTAAGGAGATTTGTGATATGGAAGTTCAGTCTCTGGTCTCCGAAAAGGTCCTGGGGACATCCATTCCTCACGTGGGTGGGTTTTACCTTGGCAGGAGCCTCCTCTCTTCCCCATAATTACAGTCCAACTCTGACGCAAACTTCCGGATAGCTGGGGGACAGCTCCCAAGAGAAAGGGGTATGGCAGAGGACTGAATGGCCCAGGGTGACTTACCCTGTGGAAAGATGTGTCTGTCTCACCATGCTTATATTTTTCTGCCTTCCTGCACATCAGTTCACCAGTCAAACAAGCCAGCAGCTTTCATTGTGGTCTCCACACAGAGGGCAGGAATGAGAAGTCCAGGAGGTGTCACCTTTTGGTCTTCATCCATCACTTGAAGGGACTTGCAGGATTTGCTGTGGAGCTGATGCTGTTGAGGATACTACCATTTTGTGGATGTGGATGAGGATACTACCATTTTGTGGATGAAGGAACTATGTTGCATAGTTCCTTTTTTTTTCTGGGTTCAAAGCAGTTAAAATTGGGTTCTTTTGTCCTTTCGTGATGTCAAAGATTTGCTGGATTCAGGACGATTGTTTACATTAAGAAATCTCTTGGCATTTAAGAGTGGTTCAGGGAAAGTAGAACGTTGTACCATGGACTCAGAAACATCTCTGACTTTGACACCTTTGACTTTGGTTCCCCAGTGTCACTTTGCCACTGCAGAATGGAGACCTTTGTTTGCCTTGGCCACTGCATAAAAAAAACAGGATATGATCAAATCCAGTTAATCATTCACAAATGTCTCATTTCTTGAATCTCTGAGGGTGTGTAACATATTTTTGGGACTGCTGTCTGCTCCTTTGGCTTTTGTTTTAAGTTAGTTAGTCAGGGGAAAATCAAATTTTGAGTTTTCTTAAAAGGAAGTGGAGGAATCCTGGAACACACTAGGTCTCTGCAAATGCATGTTTAATCATTTAAAGAAATGTCTTTTGGCTAAAAGCTCTTGCTTGCAAGTTGCACTAAAAGCCATATACGACTACATCATTCCCACAACTGATGCGAATTAGCGCCCTTGTTGGCACTGTGAGCAGAGAGATGCAGGCTTAGTGAATACTAGGGTCTGAATTACTCTCAAATTCATAGCGACTTTGTGCAGTACGGGTGAAGTGTCCTAGGGATGACTGATGATGGTTACAGTGGCATGCATGGAGGGAGACTCAGGCATGTCCTGCCTGCCTTGTTTATTCTATGTAAACCATTTGGCTCTGCTAAGGAGCCAGGCAGTTAGAAACATCTCCAGCAAACACTTACACTGTGCTTAAAGCAAGCACACACTCTCCAAGCAGCAGCAAACCAGAGGAGTGTGTTTTCACACGCGGCACGTGGTGGAACTCCCTGGTACAAGTTGTCATGGGGCAAAAAGTGCATGGAGACAGAGGCTTGAGCACATTCATGGTGAATTGGTCTATTCAGAGCTGGAAGTGAGATGCAATGACCTGGGTGTAAATGGGGGTCACCCATCCGTGCAGAGCTGGAAGCTAATGGACATAATGGAGGAGGATTGTTCTGTCCTTTCTCAGTGTCATTCGTGTATATATTTATATACGTTTAACATTCACCATGGGCTGCAGTTGGAGACAGGTTACTGGGCTACATGGATTTTAATAAACTTGTTAGTGGATTTCTTGCCTCCTTACTTTATATATCTAACCCATCCTGAAAACAATGTGGGACTCTGACAATAGGTTGAAAGCTTTGGAGGGATTACACTGCCTTATTGAGTCTGTACCCAAAGCCCTTTGAGGGCTCCCATTGACTCCAGTGGGATTTGGTTCAGACCTCAAGTATATAGGACTCCCTTAAGTAAACTCTTTCAAGGCCCCTACATACTGCAATTCTTATTGGGCTCTTTGTTACTTCTGTGAATAGGAATGCGACCTTTACACTTCTAGCGAAGAGCCCTGGTTGACAGGACTACATCTTCACGTTTTAGGAGGGGTAAGATTACCATCCTAGCTCCTCCCAACCCTGCTGTGCAGGTGGCTGAGCGGTTGATGAAGCAATTCCTGAATCACTTCTGGTTTACGTAGATAAGCACTGAGTGTGCAGTACAGCAGCTTCAGAACTTCTTCATAAGCAGATGTCCATGAATGATGATGGGCAGGGTGGACATCTGCAGTTGCAAGTTGTTCCAATTCATGAGTCAAAGCCCTAGTAATAGTCTTTTTACCACTGTAGGGTCATTCTCATATCCATGTTAGAAGTTTGTTTAGTCCATGCACACCCTAAAAACAGACACAGTGGAAGATGAGACTAGCAATTATCTAGGTTTTCTTTTATCCACCTAGTCCCTTGGCATGTGAGGGGAGGGAGGGGTAAATAAGATGGAAGAAGACCGTATCAGGCTGTACGCTGTCTCTTCCTCTGGCCGTTGCCAAAGGCTGCAGTGGGCTACGTGGTGAATAGCTGAGTCTGACTTACAACAAATTGCATACTGTGCCTTTCTTGCCTTTGGAGCTGGTCTAGCTTCTTGCCTCTCAAAACTGTTGTTCCAACAGGAGAAACTCAAGTGAGTGAGAGGAGCAGTTTGATTGACAGTGCTATTTTCTACCTGTATTTTAGGTCACTTCCTGGGTAACAACACTGTGATTGATGTACTGAGACAAGCAGGATTTGAAGTGGAGCACACCCCTCCAGGACAACCAATTGGAAAGTAAGCAGTTGCCCACAGATTATTCATCACTTTCTCTCTTTCCTTTTTTCTCTCCCTTTTCCCGTGACTAAGCAAGATTATTGCATTGGTATAGGAGATGGGTGAGGAACCTCCCTTTCCCACACAAGTTCCAGGCAAAAAGTGCATTGCAAAGCATCCGTTGTGTGAGTTTAGAAACATATGGACCCTCACTAGCTGGTTTTTTTTCACTTGGGGGCATGATTCATATCACTGCTGCGTCACTATACTAGATCAGAAGTGCCACAGTTCCTTTCTGCTTTCAAGAAACATCTCGTTCGGCTCATTTTCTCCCATAGCTGTTTTGTCTTTTTCTCTCCGTGGGGTTTTAGTTGCTTCCCCATTGCAGGGCAGTAGACTGCCACCAACAGCCTCTCTGTCAGGCTGCTCTTCTTCCGGGTGGAATCTCAGTTTTGTCTGAAGGACCAGATATAATGTAGCATATGCGCTGTGGAAAGTGTGGTGGGTAGGTAAGAAGTGATTCAATATTACCTAAGCTTCTCCATCTATCTGATGAAGTAAAGTAGGCAAGAACTTACCAGGCTTTCTTAGCAATCTTCATTAGTATAAGATAAAATATGGCACAAAATTGTCCTCAGTTGGTGAAACTGACTTTCTTCATCCCCTAAACATTTCTCTTTCCTGGCCATTTAGATGAAGTCTCTGTCTAAAGATATCATAGACAATAAAACTGGGAGGGATGGTGACAGACCATCTAGCTTTACAAAGTTAGCCTTTCCCCTGCATTCTGCAGATAAAAATTGGCCGAGATTTCTTTGTCATAGGATTGTTATCCTCATTAGGAGAAAGTGTTAGCAGCGTGCTCCTGTCTCTGGTGGGCAGACGTGACATGGTCCAAATATGAGGTGAGTTTCAATATGGAGGATTAATCGCAGGGCTAGTAGACCATGTCTGAAAAAGCTATGTTTAATATAGTTGGAAAATCTGGCTGATCTAACCTTGTTTGTGAAACATCCGCAATGATTCATATAGAATATGATATGGCTCAACTGTACATAAGTGTCTTTGACAGAGCATTTATTATAAATGCTTCTTGGAATATGTTGAGCAATAAAAGCACAGTCTTAAATAACAATGTGAAAAAGAGGAAGAAAAAGCTATCAAACACAAGGAAGAGCATATATTCAGATAGGGTTTAAGAAGCACTTTGGCAGAGGGAGAAAAGTCAGCATGGCACAGGGAGGAACAGTAAACACTGACTGGAGCTGGAAATTTTGGCTAAAAACAACAAAAATGCCTGTGTCTAAAAATAAAGCAAAACAAAACCGAAACAAATTATATCAAAACAGCTGAGATATACCATCCCTAGGTTTCTGACAAAGAAACTTTCTGCTCAGGGAAGCAAGCACTTTCCTCAGCAATTTTCATTTAGTTGAGAGCATCATCTTTCCATGAAAAGTATTTCAACTGGAAATTGTGAAACTATTCATTTATTGGCTGTTTGCAAGCCCTTGAGAAGAAAGAAAGATACAGTAGTGTGAGAGATATCCAAGAATAGACTCTGCTTTTTATGGTCATGGGATATGTCTATACACATCATCACAGAGTTGAAATAACGTGATGGGGCAAGAAACTTGAAACAAAGCCACTGCTTAATGTTGACTTATTTGCAGTACGGGGCACCTTTGTGTATGCATTCCCCTACCTTGGCAGCAATGTCTCTTGTTCGCAACATCTTCCCTAAAATTGTCAGTCCCTGGGGGAAACATACTTGAAAGCAAGTGGACTTGAACTGCTGCCTAGAACGATGCATATGTCCTCAGTTGAATTATCCTACACTTGGTAGCTTCTGTTCCCAGCTCCAGACGAGAACATTGGGCAGGTTGGTCCCTTTGTCTGGACTAGAACCCTAATTCCAGTGGAGTCTGTTCTGAACACTGAACATACAAAACTTGGTACACGGTTGTGCATGAGTACTGGATTGAGTTGAGAAGAGAGCATATGGTTGTAATCCATAAAGATTAGATGCTCTGTATGTTTTCCTATGGTCTGATGATCCAGGCAGATCAGCCAGTCTTGGATGAGAATACAGAAAGAAAAATAAATGGCATGGTAAAGACATCTAGAGTGGCCACTAAATTGCATTACTCAAGGTGCAGAAACAGTAGAAGATTATAGAAAGTTTAAATAAATAGAATTTAAATATATTCACAGGAAACAGCTTGCTGCCTTTCGAAAAAAATGAGACTCCCAGACCTGCAGATCAGGGACTGTATTTTCGTTGTGCTAGAGCTGTAGCCATCAGAAGTGCTTGGGGCTCCCCTTTAGAAACCAGGAGGCTGCTGCAAACCATTTTGTCTCTTTTTTTTTTTTAGGATAGCTTGTATTTTATGATTTCTGAGTGAGCTGCAAAAGACAGTCTGGTCAAACACAGTTATGACAAAAGTTGACGGCATATTCAGAAAGCACGGCCAATTGTTGTGATGTTGGAGTTATGCTATAATTGAGACTCTTAAGGAACCTTGCATTTTTTACTACCCTTCTTTTTTTGCTCTCCTCTTTCCTTTTTAAAAGATGAAATAAAAACATTTGAAAACAGAAAGGCCCAGAAGAGGAACCATTTCAGGATAGCGGCTATATTAACTACATGTATACAGAGAATAAACAAATACTTTTGGATAAACAAATTTTGAGCTGCTTGCAAGCAGAAGTTGTTTTATGGATTTATAGATGCGCAGGTGTTTTCCTCTTGATTCTTGGTGAACCATACATGAAATAAGAGGTATCTCTCTTCTCTGCTGAAAGCCAAAAGAGACATTTCTGCTTTACTTCCAAGTCAGTTGTATAAGAGAGTCAAGCCCACTGCATTGCATTCTGGCACTGATAGTTGAAAAATTGGATACTGTTCAGGGAAGATCAGCTGGACTCTAATGTAGAGATTGGTGGGGGTGGACAGCACATGGGAAAAATGCAAGGATTGGAAAAAACTGAAGCAGCTGCACGCTTATGTTTTGGCCAACTGAATTCAAAAAAGGATTATTGTGGACGCACTGTGCACAGAAGGACAAAGAGGAACAATTTAAGCTGGCGCATAGGAACGTTTGGAGGTATATCATATTGAAACGGAGGGTGGGTTTGGCTGAACATCAGTGATTTCTTGACAGTAATTTGCAGCACAATCTTTCTCAGGTTAAGTCAGAAGCCCCATTATTTGAAACGATGAAAGTAACTTTAGCAAAACACTCCTGCTACATCCTGCCTACTACCAATGCTGCCTTGCCAAAAACGCAAATACTATTTTTCTTTAATATCTCTGTTCCTAGAATAGGATGATGATGATGATAATTATTATTCTTGAAATGATTAGTAGCCTGATCTTTATTGTTCAATAATAATGAAGCAGTGGTACCATAAATAGGTGGGGTAGTCTAGTATGATGTTTAAGCTCTGCCGTCCATTTCAGTTTCAGAAAGGACAAGAGAATACCTTTTTAGAAAATGACTAGTAATGTTCCTGTGTATCAGAAAAGCCTTGGGAAGAGTGAAACAGAACAAAGACCAAAGCTGTTTATGCTTTTAGTTACATACAGGCTGGGTAAAGCCAGAAGATTGTTGGCTTCCTCTGTCGAAAATGCTAAGCACGGGTTGTGAAATGGCTGCTCTTTAAGCCGACCAAAATGAACGCCTAGAGTCTCACATTTCTGTTGCGTAGTGACAAGCACAAATTTGAGCCAAGTTCTCCTTTTCTTAAGGTACTGGGGAAAAGTGAAGTGAGACCTTGGCAGGCTAGAAGAGATAGCCAAGACATGGAGGGGTTTGATGGCTCCAGAATCAATGAACTGGCAAAGAAAAGTTCATATAAAGTATGTTTAGCTGGTGTGGAGCTATTTGGGAGCTCTCACTGACTGGATTTCTGAAATCCCCTAGTTTCTGTTGGTCTGCCTGGTGGCCCAGTGTTGACCTTCCTGAATCTCTTCTAGAATCCCACCAGCAGACTATTGAAAATACCTTCTTTAAAGATCGATTCCTTTCTGTAAAAGAAACCTTGGTATACTCAGCATGCAGAACAATGCCATAAACACTTGAGAACTTATCCTAACGTTGGCTTCATTTGTTTATTTTGTTGCCTGAGGGAAAGCGTCCCAAATCTGTTTGCCTGACAGCCTTCAACAGCATTCATATTTGCTTCTTATTTTGCTGGCTATCCTCTTTGTCCCCAGATAAAGGCATTGGAAAATGAATGGCTGGATCAGTATCTCATTGCTTTGCCCTGAGATAAGAAAGGCAACTTTTTTTTGGTGGGGCTTCTGCCAACTGGCCATCCGTGCACCTCTCTGTCTTCAGAAAGCAGAGCTGCCTGCTTGGCGTGGGGAGAGAGGAGGAGATGGGAGAAAGTTTCCCCTCAGATGGATTCCAGTGACTTGAGCAGAAAAAGGGCCACAGCTGCTTCACATTTAATTGGAAACAGCCAAATTGCAAGATCAATCCCAGAAGCACCTGTGTCCATGATGACTCTATTGTTGCTGGGTTCTCAGAATCAGCTCTGACCTTCTGCCACGCGCCAAGCCCTGACATACTGCACACCTTTCTCTCAGCCAGAAAAACAAGCAGCAGTGCTCATTTCCATCAGACCGCTCTTTCTGATTTTATGCTCAATGCTATCTTCTTTCAGAATGGGAGAATTCAGGACAAGCTTTTATTTCTGCCCATCTGAGAGTTTATTGTAAACTCTCAGAGCTCTGCTGTAGAAATTAAGTACCCTTCCTCCTTATGTTTGAACTTCCTGGCCCAGTCGAAGCAACATGTCTTTGCTGTTGTAGCTTATTGCTTTCCTTCTTTCGTAAGCAAAGAGCTTGCTCCTTCACCTTTTCTTATAGCATCCTACAGGTGTGACCCTGGCTCTCCTACTTAGCGTTGTTTCATGGTGGAAGTCTTTACTCCACTGTGAATGCATTCTTCTTTGTCACGGGATGAAAGCACACCTGATCCACACAGTGATGCAGCCATTTCACTCCATCAGGA